CACTACAGAACAAAGCAAACAAAACAGTACAGAAACTCAAAACGCATCCTACGTAGTGGTCGCAACCGAGGGCGGCATAGAATTCCTCGACTCGTCATAATCCTCAAAAGGCAGTCGTTCATCGTAATATAAGAGTTATTTGGAGAAGCTTGTCCGATACTGATTCGCCGGAATAAATAAAAAACTCGGGTTTGGATGAGGATTGAGGGGAGAGGAACGATACCTGTAAAATGTGTTTGTGCGTGTGGATAGTTGCCGACGTTGACTATTCAATAGGATACTTTTACTGCCTGTTTGGTTCGGGGGATTTGGAGGGGAGGGGAGGGGAGGGGATGGAAAATTTTAGTTTTCTCTTGTTTGGTTGAAAAATTAGGAGGGGAGGGAGAGGAAAATTTTAAGTAAATTTCCCTCCCCTCCCTCACTTTACCTCCCCTCCAAAATTGGAGGGATTTGGAAGGAAAATGTGTTAAGATGGTGTGAAAATACCATTTAGTCCCTACTTTCAATTGTTTTTTATTTTTTATCTTATTTCATTAAGGGTAAGTTTGTCATTTTAATTTTATTTTCCCTTCCTTTAATTTTTGAACCAAACAAGGTTTACTATTTTCCCTCCCTTCCCCTCCTGAATAATCCCTCCAAACAAGGTAAAATTATTTTACATCACCTCCCCTCCCCTCCCTTCCCCTCCATTAAAATCCCTCCCCTCCCTTCCCCTCCCTTCCCCTCCATTGAACCAAACACACCCTTAGTTAATTTACAAATAAGTATATATGGATTGTAAATATGTAATAAATATATTAATGTGTAGTGTAAGAGGTAATTTCCTCTTTTATTTTTGCATTGGAAAGCTCTTAGGTTTTTTTTACTTGGATTTGTACATGTCATTCATGACCTAAGTCCAATTATATGCCACATATACAAAAAGAGACCCAAAGCATTGTGGGTGCTCTTAGAGGTCTACTGTGCGCTACCTGTCGCTATATGAAATGCATGCCAATAGGGCTGAGCACAGGACTCGGAAATTACCGAACCGTTTCGAAAACTGAAGAGAATTCACCCCGAACCGAAAAATATCCGTTGACCGTTTGACTTCATTTGAACCGAACCTTACCGAAAAAATATTTGGTACGATTCTGGAGATTCATAAAATATCCGAACTGAACCGAAAAAAAAACCATACCGAACCGAGAACCGAACAAGAACCGATTTTAAATCATAAAATTCATATAAATATAATATTTTCATCTTATACTTTCTTTTCATCTTTGTGCATATTTGTATTTAAAGTTGAATTGCAGATAAAATCCATATACATTAGGTCTATGTTCATAAACTATCATATATTATATTTAAAATTGAATTGCAAAAATCCTCCACTATTGACTGTTAATATAATTAAAATGATTGAAAAAATTATTATTTTATTTTCTTACTACATGTGAGGCATTAGTTTGAAAAGAAACTAAATTAATATACTTTCCCTATCACAAATTTTGTTAACCAAGGTGTCAAATTTTATTAAAAGAATCATTAATTAGAAACCAAATTCAAATTTAGAATGTTTGGAAACCAGCTTTTATGAAGAAAATCTTTCATAAAATTTGGAGAGAAATATTTATTTATAGATGATATATTTTCAAATAAAAATAAATTGATAGATATTTTTACCATAATATCTAATAATAATACTACGACACGTCAACACCCACTGCTCGAAGACAGCAAAGGTTCAATGCCTTTTGGTATTACACATGTATTATGAAAAATTCACAACTGAATTCAAAATATGTCATATGGAATTGTGGTTTGAGAATTATGGGATTTGTATTTGGAAATATGGGATGTGAACTCTTGGGTAATGTGTATCTTAGTAATACTTGATTTACAATTGAATTTTTCCTGTTTTAACAATATTATTTAAAAATTTTGATGAAATATTGATGAATGTAGGATTTTTCTAAAGCATATAAAAATTAAAATATAACTAAGTAGTCATTCAAAAAAAAAAATTAGGAATCTCCGAAGATTCGACCGAACCAAACCTAATCGAATCGTTCCGATAGTCCCGTGTACCGAACCGAACCGAATCGAAAATTAAAAATATTCGAACCGAACCGTCTTGATTTTATGTACGGTTCCGGAGATCGAATTTAGTGATCCCTGAATTTTGGTACGGTTCTGGAGATTTGTCCATCTCCGAACCGTACCGACTCATGTTCACCCCTACATGCCAAAAAAATAAAATCTTACTATCTAATTATATTTTAGGTATATTATTTACGTGCAAACCTAGGTGGTGCGACACAGAGCCGGTCCTAGCCTTTCTTAGGCCATGGGCCAAATGTAAGAATAATGCCCCTCCTTTTCCGTTCCATACAATAAAATTTACAAAATTTTAACAATTACTTTGTTTATCCCATACATTGATTAACTTTGGATGAATTAATAAAATTAAAAAAAATTGCCCCTCGTTTTTGTTTATTTCAATGCAATAAGCTAATAAGCTAAATAAATAAATTATAAGAAAATTTATATAAACATACAGAGAAATGCTACATTGCTAACCTAGTGTACAACTAGGTTACAACACAAGTAAAAACATGCATAAAAATAAAAATAAAAAAATACACATGTGGATGTTTCCCACTTTTGTTGTCAACCTAAATGTATATTCGTTTGGCTATGTATCATTTTTCAAACATAAACCATAAGTAAGTACGAACACCGTTATTTACAAATTATATAATTATGTATAAGCTGAATATTATATTTATATAAATCCTTATAATTTTGTGGAGAAAATTAACTCTCTTTTATTTTAATATAATTTTATTTAATAGCAACTCATATTATTTTATACTTTGTTGCTAAATTAAATGATTTTTTATTCAATGAGTTGAAAATTTTTTAAAATAAATAGTGATTATAATTTATAATACATAAACTATAAAGATACACCCAAAAAAAAAAAAGAATCTAATATGAATAGATGGGTTGGTAGGTTCTGATATAGAATTTAAGAAAGTTTTGTGCATTTAATTTTTTTTATGCAATTAATATTTGTTGAAAACCGGTCTATTGTAATAGCATTTTAATTATTTTATATTTACCCTCTTTTATTTATTTTTTACCTAATCATGTTGAAGCCGTTTTAGAAACCTCTTTTTCCTTTTACTTTTCCTTTTTTCTTTTTTCTCTCTCACTTTCTCTCTCACATTTTCTCGTCAATCTTCTCTGTGTTTTTCTTTCCTTTATCTTCTTCCTTCTCCCTTCTCAAAAGTACAGACCACATATCTCTAATTATTTCTCATTTTTCGATTCGATTTCTTATCCATAACACACTCACATAAAATACACCTCCAAAATTCTCAATTCCTTATTATTTGCATTATTGATTAGGCAAAACAAAGGCCCCTTTGAATGGTGCCCCTTCAAATTCGGCCATGTCCTGAGCCCTTGGCCGTCGCCCTGGGCCAGGATCGGCTCTGGTGCGACATCATTATAAAGATTTGATAAACCTCCCAAAATTCCTAGAATATGATAATTTGGTTGTTTGTATCTCGCCTTCAGTTTTGCTAAGAAGTTATCGGATGACTCGACTTATGGAGCCATCGAATGGCTCGACTTATGTCCACAATTATTCACAAATAGTGTATTGACATGTGTCCTACAATAAATACACATTAGACATGTGGCAGTTTGTATTTCGCCTCCGGTTTTGCTATGGAGCCATCGAATGGCTCGACTTATGGAGCCATCCACAATTATTCACCAATAGTATATTGACATGTGTCCTACAATAAATACACATTGGACATATTGGAGCCATCTACAATTATTCTAATCATAATACTTTTTTTTCACAAATATTCACTTTTTATTCAAAAATATTTATAGAAAATCGTAACAGGTTAGGTAGAAGTTTTTCTTCCAATTAATCAGGCGAAATCAAGTTGGTAAATTAATCTTTGTCAATATAATTTTTCTTAAGCTTTATTTCGTTATATATAAAAAATAAATTATTTTTCGAATTAATATAATTTACCATTTAAGAGATAATGACAAGATACATTAAATACTTTTACTTATGGTCAAAAATTAAAATTAAAATATATTAATTATTCTTTAGAATTTATTTGTATATTATTGGCAATAATTATTATTATTTTTATTAATCTTTTTATTTTGATTTCTTTCTATAATGAAATTTTTGTAAAATATATTTTCATTACATAATATGTTAAATAAACTATAAATCTTTATAATGCATATTAAAAAAATCTTGATTATACAAGAGATTGAATTTTTGGCATTTGCAAAATCAAAGTTGTTTATTAGTATATAAAATTAAATACTAAAAAAACATGTGTATATTTTGTAAAATATTTATGCACTATTTAATTTCAAATTTATTTACATATTTTAAATTGATTACATAAATAAATAATCATAACGTGTATTAAATATTTTTCATTACATAAAATAAAAAGAAAAACTGTTATTTTCTCTTATATCAAGGAATAAATATATATACTAAAATCAAATTTATATTAATATAAATATGTTAGTAAGATAATATTTTACTTATTTCACAAGCTAACTCTAAACAACACTGATTAAAAAAGGTGAAAAATAGATTATAACTCTATTGTTTTTAAACTTCACGTTGATTAAAAGAAATAAAAAATAGATGATAATTCTATTGCTTTTTAGACTTAAATGGATAGAGTCTGTGAAAATAACTCATTTAATATCTTTGTCTCGTGCATCGCACGAGGTACGTAGTAGTAGTTGTTGTATTATTATTATTATTATTATTATTATTATTATTATTATTATTATCACCACCACTGTCACTACTATAAGAAAGAAAAAAAACAACAAAACGATTCATATGCTAGATTGCTGTTTGCTACTCTTTCAATAACTTCCCATCAAACTTTACAAGGAAAACANCTCTCCACATTTACTGGCAAAAAGAATAGAGTAAGGAATATCTGTACAAATTTTTGCTACCTGTATATTAATTCTACAAGAAAAATTAGCCAACAAAAAAAACTTTGACGAATGGGAACCCACGCCAAAAAAATCCATCAATCACTACTCAGGTGACCTGGAGCCTTCTCTTAACATTCTCATCCTGGAAATATTGAGATCATAGCTCAAAAGAAAAGTAATTTCTCTCTAGTTCTACAAAAGAAATATAAATATAAGGAATAGAAAAATGAAGCACTTTTTTTAAGGCTAATAAAAAATGAGCAATGCCATATGTCGTAGATAATAACTACTAGTCGTTACATAAACGAGCAATGAACAAAAGAACTATAAATATAATAACAAGTACTTGTTCATGTGCACGTGCATGATTAACTATAAATATAATAATAAGTACTTGTTCCTGTGCACGTACACGAATCATGCAAACGAAATATTATATGTTATGTATATGTATTATAATATTTAAAATTATAAGTTAGATAATACATTTCAAAATTTGATAATTGTACAAATAAACTGTATAAATATAAACTATGTAACATACATATGAATTACTGCATTAGTAGCATAAAATATAAAGGATAATTTTTATAATATTAAGATATCACTAGTAGGGCCCACATTTGGCTTTCCAAATAGAGAAATATTTTGTGGGATCCATTTAAGACTTTCCAAAAAAGGAAAGTGACCTCTCTATTTGTATAGTAAATAGATGACTAATTAGCTGAAAAATATTAAAATTATTTTTATTATTAATATAAAATTGTTTATGTGATTTAGGGGTTCGATTATTTCACTAAAACCAATTAGCTAACTATAAAGAAAAATCGCTTAATGAGAATAATATTGATTGAAAAATAAATATCTCGAGAAAAGATATTACAATAGAATTTTCTATAATTATGTAACTTTCATATACCATGTGAACTCATAATTAGCTAGTATTAGTAGTAACTATTATAAAATAAAATATTAAAAAATGTTATTACACTAATTAATTAATGTAAAATGTAACGGTTTTCTTCTACAATCAATTGAAAAAATAATAGGAAGTTTTTTTTATTGTATTAATTGAATTGCCTACAATTATATGTATTTGTAAATTTATACATTATGGTAGTGCTTATTATCACATAGCGTGGAGTCCCTTCAAATAAAATGCTAAAATGGACTCTACTCATGTGAGAGTAAGTAAACCTTTACTTACATGTAGAATTATTCTATAAAAAATATAAAACGACATGTTGGTTATGAACGTCAAGCTCTTCAACTTCTATTTCATTTTATGTTTCCCATATGTAAATCCAAATACCATGTAATTCATTTTAAAGTTAATATCTTATCCCCAGACTTCAAACTCCACTAACTACGTAGGAACTCTATGTACATTAAGTAGTGAAACTTGGTGAGATATAGAAGAAAAACTTACATCTGTAACATGCAAAGATCTGTCAGGACTCAGCTGCTGAGTTTCGGCAGTAGGGGCCGGTTCTATTAGTGAAAATTCCAGATTTTGACTAACCTAACATAAAACAGAAAAATTGGAAAACTATAAGCACATAAGATAGAAACATTGGAAAACTATAAGCTTCACATACTTCCAGTGAGATGACAAGGAATTTGAGATGCAAGGAGAGCAACAGTTGAAATATCACTTTGCAGTTGTCTCACATTCATTAAATAGGGAAAATGAGTAAGTTCATAAGCCTGGTGAGCTACTCCAATCACCAATTGGTTTTGGGAAGGAACCTCACTTAGGTGACAACTAGAGTCACCCTCTAAAGATATGATTACCCTATGGAACCACACTCATTCCCCTGCACAGATAATTTCACAACTAACTAAGCATGAGAGGAAAATATTTAACCTAGCAAAAAGGCTTTCTGGGTTAAATACAACAACCAGATGACTGATCCTACCCACACATCCTGAAATAACTTGGCAGCTGTCATTAGGATATATAAGGTTAAATAAAGAAAAAGAAACCCTAGAGCAACCAACAAATGAGTTGTAACTAATAATAGGATGAATATAAAGGATATATCCCTATCTATTTCAGGGAGGCAGTACCAAACAAATTTGTACAAAGTCAAATTCCTCTAAATTATTTACTTCACATCTGACATCTTTTAACCAAAACTGTCAAATGTAATAGCCATCTAACTGGATACTCTGACGCTGAAGGTCATTTATTGTTACAGCTTCACCTTCACCGTCTGTTTCGAACCATATAGACCAACTCCAAATGGAATAATCCCTCTAAAATTCCTTCCTGTAGACCCCAAATGGTATTCTAGGTAAAATGTAAATAGATCCGAAAACACGACAGAGAATCACAAGACAAAGCCAAGGCATTTGAAGTCTTGGATCATAATCGCTTCACAAATAAACAGTGCTGGAGTGGGACATCTCACAGAAGATTAAGACAACTTTATTTCTCTTTACATCTTTGGGACAAGGATGGCTTCAGTTCCAATACATGTAAGCCCCCTCGCCTATTCAAGATCCTACTCAAAATCCAAAAGATCGAATAATGGACAAAATCTTAAAAGTGAATTGCTTATTCCAACATTCTCTTCATGGGATGTACTTGTGAATATTGTTGTGTCAATGTAAAAGAACCTGAGTATGCAGTTAATTAAGATAATACAGCGGAAGCATACCCCAGATGGACATGTGTCATTCCTTCCAGGTTCAAATAGAGACGAGTAATATGCAGGATCGTATATTGAGCCTCCAATAGCATCATCACAACCCGAAGTAACTCGAACAATAGGAGTAGCAGGATTGATAAAACTATTTCTCAAATAGGCATCTGTATCTCTAGCACCACTATTATCTATGTAAGAAGAACCCAGTCTGTACATCTGAATCCATAGTAGTGATGATGACAGCCTCACTGAAAATCCAATGATTTGCATGACCAAGGTCAGCTTGACCAAAAAGCTCCCAAAAGCTCCATAAAATTCAGATGGAAAAAACCTGCATCCGCATATAAATAATTGTTAAAGCTCAACATTGTCCAAAGTTACACATTTATAGGAGTCGAAAAAATAAAAGTGCAAATTTAAATGTAATGGTGCTAGGGTTCTCTATTTGCTTCCCAGTTATCACAGGCAATGCGTCCAATTACAACTCAATTAAATCTCAGACTCTGCAGTTGATAAGGTGCATTTGTGACTGAGGGATTAAAATGAGAAATTTCATGTAGAATTCAGATAATGCATCAACACCATCCACATGAAAAGAAAAAAGGTGGTTAAATGTGGTTATTTCAATTTCCAACCGAGAACATTTACATCATAAATCACTTAAGCACAGTTAAAAGGTTTTCATATCCACCCGATACAAAGTTTGACACATACCTGAGTTAACTATTGCCGGCAAAAAGAAGTAATAAGGGATGCAAAAGTTTGTGAACATAACCAAAGGAGAGCAATTTTACATAATTGAATTTTCATGTCATTGAAAAATGTACCCTGAGGCTAAAGGAGGTCACTTCCCAACCCCACTCCACCACCATCAGTACCACATGAACTGAAGTTCCCAATTTCCTCATTTTAATTTTTCCCTTCACATTTGTGAACCTTAAGAATTTTATGGACCATTGATCGCTTTTCTTTTCTTTTCTTTTCTTTTCTTTTATTTGATCGATAGGAGCCTTAAGGATGGAGTTGTCGATGTCAGGAGGCAAGGCGATCGGATTATCCTAGTCCGATTGGTAGTTGGAGATTTGGCCTTGAATGTGATCAGTGCCTATGCCCCTCAGGTAGGCCTTAGTGAGAGCACAAAGAGGCAATTCTGGGAGGATCTGGATACCTTGGTTAGTACGGTGCCTGCCAACGAGAAGCTCTTCGTAGGAGGAGACCTAAACGGCCATGTGGGTGCGACTAATGTAGGTTTCGAGAGAGTGCACGGAGGGTTTGGGTTTGGTAGTAGAGACGCAGAGGGGAGGGTGTGTTGGACTTTGCGATGGCCTACGACCTGTTGATAGCGAACACCCTCTTTAGGAAGAGGGAATCTCACCTGGTGACCTTCCATAGTGGACGACCCTCAAGTCAGATCGACTTTATCCTTGCAAGGAGGGAAGATAAACGCGCTTGCGTAGATTGCAAGGTGATACCTGGGGAGTGTGTTGTCCCCCAGCATAAGTTGGTGGTGGCGGATTTTCGCTTCCGAATACGTGTCCACCGGGGCATACGTGCCAAGATCGTGAGAACGAAGTGGTGGAAGCTTAAAAGGGAAGCGGCGCAGACGTTTAGGGATAGGATTCTAGGCGAGTGGCCTTGGGAAGGAGGAGAAGATGCAGATGACATGTGGCTAAAGATGGCAACATGTGTTCGGAAGGTGGCTGCAGAAGTTCTTGGTGTGAGTAGAGGAGGAGAAGATGCAGATTCCGGTCAAACAAGATGCCTAATGAATGGAGGAGAAGTACTTTAGTACCGATCTTCAAGAACAAGGGAGATGTTCAAAGTTGTGGTAACTACCGGGGGATTAAGTTTATGAGCCATACGATGAAGCTCTGGGAGAGGGTTATCGAGCATCGCCTACGACGAGTGACGAGTGTGACCCAAAACCAATTTGGGTTTATGCCTGGAAGGTCGACCATGGAGGCGATTTTCCTAATACGACAGTTGACAGAGAAATATAGGGACCAAAAGAAGGACTTGCACGTTGTCTTTATCGACCTTGAGAAGGCTTATGACAGAGTTCCGAGGAATGTCATGTGGTGGGCCTTAGAAAAGCACAAAGTCTCATCTAAGTACATTACCCTCATCAAGGATATGTACAGGGATGCAACAACGTGTGTCCGAACATGTGGGGGCGATACCAACGACTTTCCAATTAAAATAGGACTACACCAGGGGTCAGCATTGAGCCCTTATCTATTTGCTTTGGTGATGGACGAGGTCACAAGGGACATACAAAGTGATATCCCTTGGTGTATGCTCTTTGCTGATGATGTGGTGCTAGTTGACGAGAGTAGGACAGGGGTAAATAGGAAGTTAGAGCTGTGGAAGGACACGTTAGAGTCGAAAGGCTTCAGACTTAGTAGGACGAAGACCGAGTACATGACGTGCGCCTTCAGCATGGCTTCTTATGATGATGGTGACGTTAGCCTAGACGGGCAAGTGGTGGCCAAGAAGGAGGCTTTCCGGTATTTAGGATCGATGCTACAAAAGGATGGCGGCATTGATGTTGATGTTAGGCATAGAATTGCAGCCGGTTGGTTGAAATGGCGTCAAGCGTCGAGCATTCTCTGTGATAAGAGGGTGCCACAGAGGCTAAAAGGTAAGTTCTATAGGACGGCGATTCGCCCGGCGATGCTATACGGTGCTGAATGTTGGCCTACAAAAAGGCAACATGTCCAACAACTAAGTGTAGCAGAGATGCGTATGTTGCGTTGGTTCTGCGGGCACACAAGAAGGGATAGAATCCGGAATGAGGATATTCGAGATAGGGTCGGGGTGGCTCCAATTGAGGAGAAATTGGTCCAACATCGACTGAGGTGGTTCGGACATGTCCAACGGAGGCCTCCTGATGCACCGGTGCGTAGGGGAATTCTACAGCGGGTCGAGGATGTAAAGAGAGGTAGAAGTTGGCCTAAACTCACTTGGGAAGAGTCGGTTAAGAGAGACCTTAAAAATTGGTATATCTCCAAGGATTTAGCGGTGGATATGAGCGCTTGGAGGCTAGCAATCAACGTGCCAGAACTGTGACTTTTGCTCTTTTCTCTTTTTGTTCCAACGTCTTCTTTTTGTTTCGAGCCCTTTTTGTGTTTCTCTTACCATTGTTTCTCTTGGGTTTCATCTCTAGCCTACCCCGACTTGCTTGGGACTAAAGGCTATGTTGTTGTTGTTGTTGTTGTTGTTTGTTTGGCAATTTGCATTTTAGATTCGAGAAAAGCTATATTTCCAAATCCATAATTTCCAATGACTGAGTGGCTGGAACAGTGAATTGGCACCTTATTTACACTTCTTTTTTTGGAGTTATGGCCCTATGGTTTAGTTAACTGCGTATCTGCAATGGCTCTGAACATACCATGAAGTCCACTGGAATCAATGAACTAATTGGACAGGGACTGAATTCAAAGATTGTGGAAAAAACAATTAACCAAAATAGAATAAGCTCTGCCTCTGAATAAAGATGTTACTGCAAAACTTATGACAGTTAACCTTGCAAAAGAAAAAACTCATCTAGTTATGTCGCGGACACCGAAGCAAAACTTTCTCCAGATACAATTGAAAAACAACTTCACTCAACTTTTATAATATAAAATTGAGATAACACTTGAAGGTACATCAAAATTTGCATTTGCTCAAGATAAAGCAAGGTATTCGAAATGCTCTTTTACTAACACCTAGGGTGTGATTAATTGTCCTTTGTTCTGTTTCTTTTAATTTTTAGAGAGTAATGTAAAAAAATAATTTTCATAAATGAAAAGGGAACTGAATGTTGTAATAGGAAGTGGGATAAAAATACTGTTGATGAGATGACTTTTTATTGATAAAAAAGTGAGTGAATAAGATTGTTGATTAAAGTTAACAAACGGTGAATGGTGCATTTGCAATATAAATGCATGTTTAAAGTGGACTTGAGGGGTTAATGTGAATTATAACTGGATGTGATGAAGGAGTGTACAGTGTATGATGAATGAGTGCAGTGTCATTGTGTGTGAGTGCGTGTGCGTAAGTGATTTAACAAGCAACAGGAAGTTGGTAAAAGTGGAAAGAAAATGGGCAATAAGTGGAAATTTCATTCAAACACACGGCTTTCACTTTTGATGTATGCATACCAATATCGTTGCTCCTCTTGAAAATTTAAAAAACAGAAAATGACCATGCGAATAAGTATGAAGAATTAACTTTGCACCATGAACTTTTGCTTATCAACTAATTCTAGTAGGTAAATATGCAATAGAGGAGAAGCATATGAATCATGCAATGTCGCTGGTCGTTGTTCTCAATTGTTCATTACGTATCAGACAGGATATTACCCACTAATCCAAATCACAATGCGTAAACTTCAGTATCAAACATGATATCCAGAAAAGTCTTACAATCAACTATATCATGGTGTCTGCTAATGAAATCAGATATAATTGCTTGATTTCCTCGGTATCAAATACTTAGTGACAGCTACTTTGAACTACCTTCCCACCTACCATGTCCTCTTGTGAACAAAAAATGGGTAGTTCTAGTTTTATTTTACTCTTTCAAAATGGTGTAATTTTAATGTCGCGCAGGAGCTAGGCAGCAGAGCAGAAAAACTGACAAAACAAATCCAATGGACCTTGCTCGTTATAACAGACACATAAGAATAGTGAATTAATATTATAGAATTTCCAGAGAGGAGGATTAAAATTAGTACCAGATATGATGAGAGAAAATGAAGAACCATGAAAAGTCCAGGCAAATGGAACAGAAGAGAAGAAATGCGTATGTCCTAGCGAGGCTCTGGCTGCTGCTCTCAATGGCGACGAGCGCGAACAGCGAAATCCCCAAATCGACTAGCAAAACACCGTTGTAGATTGGGCCGAGCGATCCAACCAAGGCGCAGCCAATTTGGGCGTAGATCAGCCTTAGCGCGAGCCACTGGAGGTTGTCATAGTCCCGAATCCACGTGTGTATAGCTCTCAACCTCAATCTAAAACCGCCGCCGGAAGGCATCCTACGCCAAACTCGCCGCCTCTGCAATTCTCTCTGCTGTAATGACACGAATCTTCGATTCTGATGGGGTTGCGCCGAGTAAATTCATCCGAAAATTAGGCAAGGTTAAGGTGAAGAAGAAGGAGAAGAAACTAGTGCAGTGTTAGTCGAGTGGAGGTGGGTCTCTACTGCAGCATCACAGATCAAATACTCATTACCCTTTCTAACTCCCAAAAGCGCTTTTTGAATTAGCAGTTTCCTTTTCCCCTCGATTAAGCCTGCAGATCGGGAGGAGGCTACTTTTAATAGGGGCATAATTGCTCAA